GCATCAGCGACTGAATAAGGCACATCATGCGACTGTCTGACCACGGTGCCTCCTTGACTTACACCCACCGCTTTTCTCGAGGCGAATGGAACCACGGTATTCCTAAACCCAAGAGCGACTTATGATTTCAGACATTCGTCCGACCGTGCCGGCGAACCAAACCCCAGCCTCCACGTTCCCACTTCTTTGTGTTCTGCGGGGAAATGGCCTTGACTATGCCCCAACAAGGAGAGAATGGCCAACTGTTCGTATTCTCAGTTCCTTTTTTGGTTTGGCCCGTGGCTCCCCCCTCCCCATCCACTTCTACCAGCTCCACGCTCCACATATCGCCCACTGCAAAGCTCCTGAAGCTAGATCAATCCTGTTGCCAATCCAGCTAACGAGCCAACCATTGACAGAAGGTGCCAATAATTTCCCTGCGGGCTCCGGTCGAGTCAGCCATTCCTCAGGGCCAAAAGATCGAATCCGAGCAGTTACAGAACGCCATGCCTCTCCTTCACTGGCTCTCCTGCAGGCTTACCTCGCACAGGAAACCCAATCGACCTTGGCCGACCCTCGGGCTGGACCTGGCGCTGTACGGATCCTGGACGACATTGAGCCACGCGACGTCTAGCATGTCCCGCTAGAAGGAAAAGCAAATGGAATTATTTTTGTGACCGATGCATACCGGATACATTCAAGATGCCTGCTTCGCACTGCATAAAGGGGGTCGGCACTTTTACCCTGGCCACTCAGCATTCATTCCTTTCCACATCTTCCACATCAGAAAGATGGACTCTAGCCAGGGTCTGCATTTGTATCCCAGCCCCACGTTCTGTCACCCATGGTGCGCTTGGGAGGGGGTCAGCAGTCGAGGTGGAATCGGATAAAGAGGGCGGAAGCTGCTGTGGCCTGTGCCACATTGCCCCAGGTCGAAATAGCTGCCCTTGCGCCGATTTCAAGCCTTTATTGTCCTCCGGTGCTCCCTTGTTTCTGTTGTGCGATTGATCTGGAAGACTACAACACGTCCAAGATGGCGGGTGACCTTCAACAAACTCCTACTTCCACGGAAAGGGACATGATCGAAGAGAAGCCTGGCTTGACACATACTGTCTCGTCAGGAGCGATTTCCATCAGCCCAGAACTTTTCGAAAAGGTGCGCATATAGCTTCACGGCTCACACAGAATTCTCCCCCCTACATCGAGATCCAAACAGCTCGCTAACTCTGCGCGACTTGGACAGCTCTACCTTACTCCCAAAGTTCCTCATGCTGGCGACAATATCCGGCGTTTCGCCAATCCGACTCCGCTCGGTTTCGTTGGGTATGCTCCAGAAACATCATCGTGGAGACGCGCATACTCATGAGCAGATAGCTTCGTGATCTCGACTATGACTTTTGCGATGGTCATGATGGGCTGGGGTGGTGCCAGCGGGTTGTCGCCCGTAGTGTAAGTACTTGCATTGTCTAACCATCGCCCCCAACCTTACCCAACAAGATTGAATCCGCTGACGCTTCAAATATAGCGGGATATTCTTCTTCGTCGGCCCGGTCCTCCTCGTTTTGACGGTCATCTTCGAATGGATCATGTAAGTCAGCCTGACAAACCTTGTTCAGTAATGAGCGATCTTTCTCTCCTGCCTACAGCCAGCCGATTCTTTGCTATGTTAGATGCTGACATTGGCACTAGGGGCAATTTCTTCTCCATGATGGTCTGTGGCCTCTTCGCGGTCTTCTGGCTATCCTTTGGCATGCTCCAGCTCCCCACACTCGGTCTGGCGACACCGTACTCTCCCAGCGGGACCAACGCCGTGATTGGGTCAGCCTCAAAGGAATACAACGCTGTCATTGCCTTGTATTTGATTGTATGGGGATTCGCGCTGTTTACATTTTTCATCTTCACGCTGAAGACAAATGTCGTTTTCGCGCTCATCTTTCTGTTCGTCACCATGGGCGCGTGGGTCTTGAGCGGTGCCTATTGGAAAGTTAGTACCGGAGATTATGATACAGCAGCGGACTTGCAAAAGGTGAGAAAGATTACCCTTACTTTCTCTTTCTTTTCCGTCGAAAAACGCATCTGCGCAATCCCCTCGGTTCTAGTAGTGTTTCAGAACGCTAACATCAAGGAAATCGAAACAGACCGGCGGAGCATTACTTTTTATAGTCGGCTGTCTGGGCTGGTACATGACTTTTGTCATGATGGCGGCAGAAATGCGTCTCGCCATCAAACTACCTGTGGGCGACCTGAGTCACTTCTGGCCAAAGACCGACGTGGAGATGGGCAGGGCCGAGAAGCAAGCCTAAGCCTCTCTATGAGGTACAAGTCCCTGGGTTTACGTGGCAAACCTCGGCATCCTGTTGCTGTTGTCATCGCCGTACTCAGTAGTCCCATATTCTACGTCGGCCTTTGATATTTTGATGATTTGTTGCGGACGCAAGTTATGGCAGAAGTTGACTTCGGAAGCGTGAACAGAAGCAGCAGAAGTCTTATTCATCAATGTGCCGCTGTCAGGAAAAAGCTGCTCTGCGATAATGGAGGAGAGAACGGGGGTGATATGTTCTGTTCAGCGCGCTGCTCCCTGGTATTTTCCGTCGAGAGAATCGAGACTCCGAATGATCATTAGCGAGCGCGAGGAGGGCAATGCCATATTGCTGATTACCATTCGTCTCTCATCTCTCCTCCGCTCTTCTCCTGCACATTCGATCATTTCCTGCAACCCTCAAACCTTCGAATCACTAGCGATGCAAAGAGCCTGCAGATTACGAGCATTGTTGAGCAGTCTCGTCACTTGGACGGTACACCACTCTGCGCGGATGAGGGAGAGAGGGAAACTACCAATGAGGGACGCGGATTTGCAGTTCTTCAGTGCAGGCCATGCTTTTTTCAACCCCGAACTAATTATTGTATTGCAGTTGTTGGTACATAATGACCAACATACATTTCAGCATAATTACCTACTTCGTGTTAACATGTGTCTGCGTCGTAATAATGATATTGTTAGTCATTCTCTCTTTCTTTTTGTTCAAACACAACCATGCAAGGCTGTTTTCAGCGTGTTAGATAGAGAGAGGTGGGAAAGGGAGGAGGAGGAGGAGGAGGAAATCAATCCTTCGACAAGGCCGTTAGTTGCACGTAGCGCTTCTCCAGCCACTCCCTTGCCGTGTAGACTTTGTCGTCGATGCCGTCGGAGAACTTGCCTCCCACCTTGATACGGTCCTGTTCCTTGTCGAATCCGCCCACGGGCTTCATCAGACTGTGGTGCGTCGGGCGGACAAAGTAGACGACACTGACGCGCTCCATGCCGGCTTGCGCGCCGGGGGACGGCACGACGCGGTGTTTGGCGCTCTTCAGGCTTCCGTTGGAGAAATGCACCATGGCGTCTCCCAGGTTGACGATGGCCTTGCCCGGCACGGGCTTCACGTACTCCCATTCGCCGACCCGGCCGGGTGTGCGCGACTCGATCTGCAGGCCGCTGAGCCAGTTGAACAGGATGGTGACGCTACCGAAGTCGGTGTGGGACGGAAGGCCGATGATGTCGGTCTTGGTGGGATCCGAGGGCGGCTTGAGCGTCAGACGGATGTGGTCCCCCGACGATTCTTCGAAGCGGTTGAGGTTGACGAAGATTTCCTCGTCCTCGCCGAACGCGCGCGCGAGCGTGCGCAGGATCGTCATCGACATCCCGTGGGCGCCCTTGCAGAATGCCTGGAGCAAGGGCCACGCGTCTTTGATGACGTCGGGATAAGGGCGGCTTTCGGCGACGCCAAACAGACAGTCCTTGCCGACGTTGAAGAACTCGGTACTGTCGGGCCGCTGGGACTTGTCGGTCAACTTGACAGTGCCCGCGGGCTTGTACCCAAAGAAGGACTGCGTCTTGCGGAAATCGTACTTGTCCTTTTCCTCAAATGGCAGCCCAAGTGCCCTTTTGCTGAGGTCATGGAGTTGGTCGGCCTCGGTGAGGAGCTCTCGCCCAGGTTCCGAGTCGGCCAGGTCGAGATAGAAGAACCCGTACGTTTGACACGCTTGCAAGACTGCGGCCGTGGACGCAGGGTCCTTTTCCAGGAGACTCTTGGAGGAGATCTCGGCAATCGGTGCGTGGGAAACGTCGGGAGGAAAAGGTGGTATGCGTTCGTGGATCCGGCTCGCCGCTGTGCTCGTTGTTGTTGCTGTCGTCGTCGCGGACATGGTGATGATGTGCGCCGAATGGTAGATATTTGGTAGGGAAGCAACGTGCGAGAGACTGCGGCAGTATCTTGCTTGAGGAAAAGCGTCATAGAATGCCACCTCTGGTTCTTATGTGTAGGACCCTTCGATGAACCCGTACCACCAAAGAGCTAGAACTGCAAACTCCGTCCCTTGTGGGTAGAGGTTGAAATGCCGACGCTTCCCCACAAAGAACCCCCGGATCTGTTCGTTTCGAAAAAGACCCGCACTTGCTATTATGTTCCTTATGCCTACCGCGTCGCACATCCGGAACCATCAGTGTGACCAATGGGCAGTGACCCCCTGATCAGCATCGCTCGCCAACTTGACGTCGTGCAGCATCTCCCTACGCAGCATGAAGACGAGTGGTGGACTGTGAGAAGCCTGGACAACTATGCAGTGTTGAGGGCCACAGAGACTCAGATGGATAGGTGCTGGGGTATCCAGTTGCTACCCTGTGATCGGCATCCTGATGGCATTTGGTCAGAGAACGGTCCAGGGAGGTCACAGGTACTGAAGATGCAATGTGCTTTGCAGACAAAAATGGATACTGACATTATTGAGCTGTTCTTTTTTTGATCAACCGCGCTTCATTCCTCCTACATGCTGGTGTACGCTAGCTAACAACCAACAGCCACTCAATGAATTCCCTCTTCATTAGCCCCTTCTAATTAAGTATTACAATTCGTTGTGTTTTCCATCTTCCCTGTATGTGTGCATTGACATTCGAGTTCTCAATCTTCAACCTCCTGGAACGTTTTCCTGTTGTCGTAGCAGTCATGCCGGATATCCCTCGATACTCGGTGTCGTGATTGGTGTGCTCATGCAATGGCTTCTGTGACATTGGCAATGATGACCTTTCCGTCGGTTGTTACACACGCTGCGTTGCCAATATCACATTGATAGTAGTCGGTTGTGGGGTACGTCAAATTGAAGTCGGAGAACTTGGTGAGGACATTGTACGGGGCTTGACCAACGCTGCGTTCGTATCAGAACCATATCTCGAGGACGAGACGGCGAGGGAAAAGTGGGATGCACATACCTGTTGTCGATGTACTGATGGGCTAACTGTAGCGAGAGATTACCAACACCATGCCATGAGGTGACGAGGACGTTGAAGGTGCTGTTGTCGCAGGTATCTCTTGCAGAGGTGGGAGGGCTCAGACCCACAGCCCATTCAACACAGCAGTGAGTGGGACCAACTTCAGGCGTATCTTCGTCGCAGAAGTCGACTGTTACTTGTTAGATGTGAACAATAGGCAGATTAGAGGGCCTCAACTCACATTGAATATAGGTGCTCTGGGTCGAAGTAGGATCTGCTTCAAAGGGCGAGGAGACAACGATGTTTGTGAGTTCAAAGTTTCCAGAGAAGGCCGAGGCGGCGGAGGAGAGAAGAGCAATGAAGGCGAGGAAGGTGAAGATGGAAGCCATGACGGTAGGCGACGAGGTGCAAGAAGCGTGATTTGTCGTAAAGGGCAAGTGTGGTAGGCTGGGGCAGGGCAAGAGTAAATACGTCGTTTCAATCTCCCACCAAGGAGCACGATGATGAGTGTTGAGGTCGAAGATGAGATGGGATGAAGGAAGGAAGGGGTGAGGCAAGAAGAAACTGCGGTCTTTATAGCTGCGCCCTTTGCACCAACACTTTGAGGTCAACCCGTCCTGTTTCTCTCCAGCCTCTTCCACGGAGTCTTTGTTCTGTGACCGCAGCAGAAGTTGGATTTGGGTACAAACACCAATGGTTTGCACGCAATGCACTTGCTCGGCTACTGTTTGATAGACAAGCTCTTCTCTTGGATACCACGCAGCCTGTTGTACCGAAACAGCCTCCTTCCAGAATGCTACCGAGCGGAGTTGCGACTGAGACATTCCAGAAAACAGTCAGCCAGTTCTTGAATATGGATCTTGGGCGATGCGTACTCTACAAGGGCAAGCCGTGCAAAAGTGCCATGGCTCATGGTGTGTCCCCTTGCACTCTGCACTGCTTGTGATGCCACACCGAGCCCACCGCTTGTCTTGTTCTCCTGCATCCATGGGGTTGGCGAGTGCTGGACGAGCGCCAGCGGCTCGGAAAATTTTGTGAAGGTGCCAGAAATAGTGTCCCGAGTCACACAAGACCAGCATAGCATGACGGAATGAGGGCGAAGAGTACCAATACCAAGGCTTGAATTCTGGACCCGACTGCAGCAGAGTTGCTGATCGGATCGGAAGGTTGCATCGTTCAACAGGATGCTTTCGATATGGAAAGACAGGCGTGCTGGTCCTCGGCGGGTCAAAGACAATGGTTGGGTTCAATCAAGGAATGCTGTAGCTGGCTTCACACTGTTCTTGGAGTGCAGTGGCAGTGAGGCAGGTTAGAATAGCGGATTGTATAGGACTTGACGGGTTTCCTGGTGGCGATGCGATGAGACCATCCTGGCTGTACGGGTGGGAGACACAACCCAGGAACGATCCTGCGGGATCGACAGAACCAGCCTTGGACTCTTATCCAAGGGGTCGGTCATTCCGAAGTCCGACATAAGAATGGCGAAACTTGAAAGTTCAGCGCATGGCACACCTGGTCATGTAGCACTTTTCATCTTTCTCCTGCTTGTCCCACGTCGCGATAACTCACCGCCATCATCACACTGCATGAGGGACAGCCACAAGAAAAGCCACTCACAATTCAACGGCGAAAGGGGAACAGGTTGGAATTTTCATTTTATGCCATTTGATTGCTCGCGAGTCCACTATCCGTAGACTTTCCATGTCCCAACGTAGCATTGTTGCACCAGGTTTAAAACCCCAGCCATGCCGATTGTGCTTTTCTCGTGCTCGGTGCAGAAATTTTTCCTGCCGCTGTGATTTCTTTCGAGCGACAACTCCACCACCACATTCACCACAAGACACCCTCCAAATGACAGCCAGAATCGTTTAACCCTTCTTCTTGCTGACACCAACCGTACGTCCTCTTCGGCCAGTGGTCTTGGAGTGTTGACCTCTGACACGGAGACCCCAGTAGTGACGGAGACCACGATGTGCTCGGATCTTCTTGAGACGTTCCAAATCCTCACGCAACTTGCTTTCCATGCTGTTGGCCAGCACCTGCGAGTCCTTGCCATCCACAATGTCGCGTTGTCTGTTCAAGAACCATGATGGGATCTTGTATTGCGTGGGGTTTTGGATGATCGTGACAATTCGCTCGAGTTCTTCGGAGGTGATTTCACCGGCACTGTCATGTATGAATTAGTTCCCGCTCTTTTGATCCTGAGAGTTTTTCATGATTTGCCCGTACCGCTTGGTCAAGTCGACATCGGCCTTCTTGCAGACAAGGTTGGAGTAGCGTCGTCCGACACCCTTGATTCGGGTCAGGGCATACATGATTTTCTGCTTGCCATCGACGTTGGTGTTGAGAAGACGGAGGATGAACTGGACTGCAGTAGTCGTTAGAACACGATGTCTAGAGAAGGAGTTGGAATCAACCTACAGTTCGACTTCTCCCCGCTGACGAGAGCTGCCTCGATTGTTAGCAAATATCCCTTCCACGTTGTCGCAATGTGCCAGATCTTGGAGCGAGGTGCATATAGATTCGATATATGGTGAGATCGCAACAATGAAGAATCAGTCCAGACTTACACATGATGGGCGAGTGTCTCCTTGTCGATTGCGTTGACGGTTTGCGATAGACAGACAATCTTCTAAGACTGCCAAAAAATCAATGAAAACCGACAGTGCGACGCGCCAAGAGACTACTTAGTCAGCGCATGGCCATTTGTGGTGGCACCCAGGTGACAGTCTTGCCTTGGCACAGCGATAAAGATCATGTGATCAATATCTGAGCTTGACGGAATGCTGTCGTCACTCAATTGGATGAACCAGGTCCGCTGATGGTTGTCCAGCAACCAGGACAGGCTGCTTCGTTACGAGTCGCAGTCATCAATCTTCCGTACTCATCCTTTCTTCTCGGCTTATATTCCTCTATCGTGTGCTCTCCATTCCTCCATCTCTTCTGTATATCAATCACTGCAATCCGATCCGGTGACTGTTTGAAGCTCACTGGACTGCTTATCGCTACTGGGACGGATCCCAGTCTGACAACGACATCGACCCTCGCTGCTGCCTTCGCTGGCTCAGTAGACGAACCTGATCGATTCTTTCCATCTCCTCTTCTGCCATGAAGGCCATTTCTCCCCTGCTGCTGGCTGGAGCGGCCTCGGCTGCCATCGCCCCTCAGCAGCAGCCTCTGCAGCTACCCAAGTCATTCCCTGCGGAAGCCAAGAACATGCTCGATAACCAACTCCACCATCTCAAGGATGCCCTTCGTGGTCTCACTGAAGAGGCAGCTAATGTCTGGGACGAAGTTGCGGCTCTCTATCCGGAGGATATGAGCCGCGCCAGCTTCTTCTCTCTGCCCAAGAAACACACCCGCAGACCTGATCACGAATGGGACCATATTGTTCGTGGAGCTGATGTTCAAAGTGTCTGGGTCGACAATGCCGACGGAGAAAAAGAGCGTTATGTCGATGGCAAGCTTGACACATATGACTTGCGAGTGAAGAAAGTCGACCCCAGCTCATTGGGCGTCGATCCCAACGTCAAACAATATTCGGGGTATCTGGATGACAATGAGAACGACAAGCATTTATTTTACTGGTTCTTCGAATCCAGAAATGACCCAGAAAACGACCCTGTCGTTTTATGGCTCAACGGCGGTCCAGGCTGCTCTTCTCTGACCGGTCTGTTCCTCGAGCTCGGACCTTCGCGCATCAACGAGAAGCTCCAGGTGGTTCCGAACCCGTACTCGTGGAATGACAATGCGAGCGTCATCTTCCTGGACCAACCTGTCAACGTTGGCTATTCCTACTCCAGCTCCAGTGTCTCCAACACCGTGGCCGCCGGCAAGGATGTCTATGCGTTGTTGACCCTCTTTTTTGAGCAATTCCCCGAATATGCCAAGCAGGACTTCCACATCGCCGGAGAGTCGTACGCTGGGCACTATATTCCCGTCTTCGCTTCAGAAATTCTGTCACATAAAAAGACCAATATCAAGCTTACGTCTGTCTTGATTGGCAATGGGTTGACAGATGGATACACCCAATACGAATACTATCGACCAATGGCGTGCGGTGACGGCGGGTGGCCGGCCGTTCTTGACCCACAGTCCTGCCAGGCTATGGACAACGCCCTTCCTCGCTGCCAATCACTGATCCAAAACTGTTATGACAGCGAGAGCGTGTGGTCATGTGTCCCCGCCAGCATCTACTGCAACAACGCCTTGCTCGCACCTTATCAACGAACGGGTCAGAACGTCTACGATGTCCGCGGCAAGTGCAAGGACAGCAGCAACTTGTGCTATCCCGAACTTGGCTGGATCAGCAAGTGGCTCAATGAGAAGTCGGTGATGAAGGCACTTGGGGTGGAGGTTGACGGTTACGACTCGTGCAACTTTGACATCAACCGCAACTTCCTGTTCCAGGGCGACTGGATGCAACCTTTCCACCGACTTGTGCCGGGTCTTATCGAGAAGATGCCAGTCCTGATCTATGCCGGGGATGCCGACTTCATTTGCAACTGGCTGGGCAACAAGGCGTGGGCGGAGGCGCTTGAGTATCCTGACCACAAGAAGTTTGCGGCAGCTGACATGAAGGATCTTCGGCTGGACGACAGCAAGGACGGGCGCAAGATTGGAGAAGTCAAGTCGCATGGCAACTTTACCTTCATGCGTATCCATGCAGGCGGTCATATGGTCCCTCTTGATCAGCCAGAGGCCAGCCTGGAGTTTTTCAACCGCTGGCTGGCGAAGGAATGGTTCTAGACCTGGAGTGTTGTTGGCTGGGGATTGACGACGACAAGGACGCGATGAATTCGGTCAGTTGCAGGTGGAGGTTATGGTTGGACCGGGTTTGTGTTATACAAGCCAAGCTCAGGATGGAGGATTGGTGTGCTGGAGAGGGGGGTTAGAGGTGGATAGAGGTGGATTCGCTATCGGCATGGGCCGGGGCGGTTATGTGTATACTCATACAGACCCAATTAGGGCGGGGATTTCTGGATTGTCTCTACAAGTCCTTGTCGGATGGATGATCTGGAGTTGTCTCTCTGCCAGCACCACTTCCATTAGCAACAACCATCTTGTCATTTAGGCGCCCATTCAATTCACTCGTACCTACATAGGTAATCATGTGGGTGTCAAGGTGAAGATTCCCCTCTTGTGCACTTCGGTCGTCTACTCGTATCTCCATGTGACAATATGCATGTGCTCTGTCACATTGTTGGTGGGGTGGATGCATCGATGGCTGGATGGAAGGAAGGATGGAAGGATGGAGGGATGAATGAATAATGAATGAATGGGAAGGCGCTTCGAGGGACGTCATGGGTGGCTCTTTCCCTCTGTTGCCTCCTCTCCTCTGGTCTACTTTTCACATCTTTTTACTTCTCTGCTTCTTCCTCTACTTCCTTCAATTCTCGCTCACCCACTCATTCTATTCTTAGCCCCAAACGCCATTGATTGGATGGTGATGCATCTCCATCAACCAGTCACACTACTTCACCTGCTTAACCGCCCACATCTCTTGATCCAATTGATGGCCCTCGTCCTTCTCTAAGCGCCCGGCTTGTTCCCCTCTCATCTGGTTCTTTCAAACTCCCCTCTCCATCTCTTTCTTCCTACTGGCTTCTGGCTGGTTTGTTGCTGCCATCCATCCTTCATGTTCACACTATTGCCTGCAACCTCGGAACGGCCTCTTCCTCCACCTGGCCGTGGCCCATTGAGCATGATGCTGTTGTATCTAAATATTGCCATCCCCTTCCCGTTGCTGCGTCTCTGCCTTTCCCTTTCTTTTTTCCCCTTCTAAGCAAGCAAGTCTTGTCAACTCTGGTCGTGCGGTGTGAGAGCTATTCTTGAATTCTGTTCTTTTTGGATTAATCAAAACTCCTAATTCCATCTCCTTCTGCAAAGAGATAGTGTCTGGTACACTATTGACTTCGATCCCAAGTCAATTGTTAATTGTCCATATCAACCCACTTCGTCCTACGGCAACCCCTTGTGGCATTTACGAGCTGTGCTCATTCTTGCTGCTTGTGTTTTCCCCTTTGCCCACAGGCACAACATCCGATCTTTGCAGAAGATCTGTCAAAAGAAAGCAAAAAACAGACAATCTTCATCAATCAAGCACCTTGCGAGGAGACCATCATCGTTGCCGGTCAACGATCATTCTTTCCAACCAAGATACCTAATAGCTGTTCATCTCATACCCGCCGGCCTGACTTGCTGTGCCGCTCCAACAACTTAATCCTTTGTCAATCATCCTGTTATCGTTGTTGTCGATACTGTCGCTTTTCTCATCGTGTCTCATCACTCCAGTCGATCCAGACCAAGCACCTATTGCCTTGTCCTTCAAGGGAGTCTCTTCAACGAGCCCGACCAGAAGTCGGATTCATTACGGCCCCAGCCTGCTCGGCGCCATTATTGCCTCAGCATCGAGCATTACTACACCCTCGATCAACGCTCCCCATTGTGTCGTCACCACGATTGCCGGTCAATCTACCTGACACCAATCCACAAGCACCTTTCTGAAACCTTCCGAGATATCAAGCAAATCATCTATTCACCTTGACCTATCTGTCGAGGAAGCTCTGCTCGGTCTAGACAAAGCCTTCTAGACGGCAATCAAAATAATACGCACACGTGGACGTTGATCTGAGTACTGGGGTGTACTTGGTCTGTCGATTATTCATCTGGTTCAACATTTTTACCAACAGAGCATCATTAACGCCTTTAATTCGGACGATTATTCGTTGCACAGCCCTTTACAGCTCTTCAGCAGCCTAACGAGTCATTTAACGCATTGTTACGAACCCCAAAAGTCTCGACGACACGTCTTTTCTTGAGTAAATGTATCAACCCCTTTTTTTAATGTGTTTCAATCTCTTGCCACTACACTCAGCTGACTTGAATACCTAGAAAAGCGATTAATCCATCAGTATCCAATCTACCTACAAACAAAAAAAAAAAGGAAGACCAGGATGTCGTCTCCAACCGTGCAACTCTCCTTTACCCTCCGCACCTCGCCCAACGTGCGCACCGTGCACTTGCTCGGCTCATGGGACAACTACAAATCCCAGCTGCCTCTGTCTTTGATCAAAGATCCTGCCGCCAAACCAGGCTCCTGGAAGGGCACCTTCCGCTTCCAAGGGTCGAATGCCCTCAAGTTGGGCTCCCGGTATTGGTATTACTACATCGTTGATGGCTACCACGTCTCTCACGACCCAGCCAAGGAATATGTGACGGAGAAGACCACAGGTCGCAAGCTCAACATCATAGACGTTCCAGGAGGCGACAAGTCCAGCGCCAAACCAACCAGGCCTAGTGTCAACACAGAAGTGTCAACTTCGCGCCATAGTAGGGAGGTTCCGCAAGGCCGTGCCCTGAGCCCTGGCAAGATCCAACATCCGAAGCCCAGCAAGCCCTACGCGTCCCGTCAATTACGCGAGGCCGACTATGAGGTATCTCCCGTGGATGACCTCGAAGAGCGTTTCGCAGGCTGGCGCATTGCTGACTCGTCTCGCTCGCCCTCCGAATTATCAGACGACAGTTCTTCTTCGGGCACCGCTTTCTCGCGTTCTTCTCCCTCCAGCTTGTCAAGTGTCAGCGACCACAGCTGCCGCTGTGAGCGCTATGGCGTCACACGCTCTGGCCAGCGGGTCAAACTTGACTGCGGTGGTAAGCGATGTGGTGCGTGGAGCTCGAGCTCCTCCGAATGCGAATCGACGGAGAGTTCCGAAGAGTCAAGCGAGGATGAGCGCGAGCGCCGTGCCAGGATGCGCAAAGAGGCAGAAAAGAGAGGTGCACCGGCAGCGACTGCGACGAAAGGAAAGCCCAGCAGTGGTGGGGACGACAGGAGGAGGACAGTCATCGTGGAAAAGAGGCGGAAGTAGATGAAATTGAGGAAGCTTTGGGGATGATGGGTTAGGTGAGAGGGTTGGTGAGTGCATCATGCTGTGGAAGAGAGACCTTTCCTTCTTCCATGCCACTCCAAAAGTCAAACGACAAGACCACACGTCGGCCTGGAGTCCACCAGATCAGACCAAGGCAAACCTACTGACAGGACAGCAGCCACGTGCTCTACACATAATGTCCGAAGCGAGAGTCAATTTGAACCAGCCTCAGGCTGTGCAATGGGCTCAGACCTACGTCAAAATTTGCGAGAAGGATTGGCAAAATAACCGCAAAGGAGGGAATATCATGCCTGAGGAATAATGATGAATGAGCAAGAAGGTTGGAGGCAAGAGACAAGCAGTGACAACCCTGCACGATTCCCCGAGGAGACTCGCGCACCTACCGATCCAATCAATATGGTACATGAGGACGAGCTCGGGGACCAGAAGAAACAGTGGAAAAAACGATTATGGGCAAAACTTATGGCAATGATGTCCATGGGATGGACAGGAACTTGGGTAAAACCACCATAGAAACCCTCTCCTCCTGTCCCCGCTGCCCTGTATGTCCATCAGGAAGAATCAAATTCGGGGACGAAGAGGGAGGGATTTTGACAATAAATCCGAGGAACTGGCGTCCTATGCCTGCATCAGCTGATGAACAAGAACCGAGAACCGTGCTCATGTTGTTGTGTGTTTTCTATCTCCTTTGTTCTGCTTCTGTGGGGAGATATTCGGCCCAATATCCTGAGGCGTAGACTTGAGATCTGAAGCCGAGATGTTATTCCCTGATTCACAAACACACGGCAATCCAGCTGAGGGGGGCACGAGCGACGCGCTAGTCCTTATCCTGATGGAGTCTCAACTGACGATATAATAGACCCCGACACTGATGCATTTGGCGCGGTCTGTTCGTTGTGGCCAGTTCCTGGTTGTGTCAGCCACGGGGACTTGAGCCTGTAACGAAGTCCGAACTCAGCCTCGTGTGTGCCTGGGCGTGTAGCCTGGCGATAATGCTTCGGCGTTTACAATCAGATCCTCCACACACACCCACGCAGGCCTAGACTGAATATATGTCGGTTTTACGTCCTTGGTGAGTTGTGTCTGGAAGTACCCTGTACGTCGAGGAGACTGAGATGGCAATACATCGTCGCGGACGAACAGGCAAAGGACACCGTCGTCATCGACCCAGTGTTCGACTATGATAAAGACACGGGAAAATTGTCGACGCAGTCAGCCGACCAGATGCTCGACGTGGTGGCCAAGCACAGATGCACCGTGTCCACGATCCTCGAGACGCACGGCCACGCCGACCACCTCACCGCGTCTTGCTGCCTCCAGAACGTCCTCGAGCAAAGACAGCAAAGTCAACCACGACCCCGGCCCGAGGTGTGCATCGGCCAGCGCATCCATCAGGTCCAGGAGACCATGTCGGCGCTCTACGGCGTGCCGCCAGCGGATCTGGTCGACGCGTTCGATCACACGTTCGCCGACGACGAGAGCTTCACCATCGGGTCCATTCAGGCCTGCGCGATCGCCCTCCCGGGCCATACGCCCGATCACCTGGGCTACGTGGTCGGTTCCAACGTCTTCACGGGCGATTCGATCTTCAACCCGGACGTCGGCTCCGCGCCCTGCGACTTCCCCCGCGGGTCTGCCGTGCATCTCTACCACTCGGGGCAGAAGCTCTTATCTCTCCCCGGACACTTCAGGCTGTACACGGGCCACGACTATTCGCCGGACAGTCGTCGAGATGGACCCTTACCCATGCCCACGCCCGTGGTCGGCGGACAGAACGCGGAGACCAAGGGCGTGCCCTTCACACCCGTGGCAGTCCAGGTCCGGGAGAACAAGCACGCCAACCAGACCACCCGCATGGATGACTTTGTCCCATGGCGCTCGGATAGAGATGCTGGTCTCGCCGCGCCAAAACTGCTCGCTTAAGCCCTCCAGGTCAATGTCCGGGGTGGTCGGCTCCCCGATCCGAGCACGCGGGATTTCAAGCTCACGGGGTTGCCAGGACGGGTGTGTCGAGTTTAGGAGGGCGGAGTTTGGCGGCAAGATTCAAGACTCAAAATCAAGAGTAGTTCTCGGTGCTGCCTGGGTAGGTACATTGTTGTCCAAGTACATGTGCAAAACCCAAAAAAAAAACAAAAAACAACCATGACACGAAGAAACACCCAGAACGACCTGTTTCGAGGATGGCGCACTTATTTAAACACGAGACACGTCTCTCACGATCCAGGTTTCAGGGACCCTCACACCTCTCCACAGATTATCAAATCAAAGGCTCCGGTTGAGAAATTATATATTACTCGTACGTACGCTTCATATCATTACAGTCTAGCTAGATGTTTCCAATTCGCTCAGCTCTTCAAAATGCAAGGGAGGGGGGCTTCTGGGCACGTCCTCGGCCCCGTCACCGCTAGCATGGTTTGGTACATGTTCAAAAATTCAAAAGAGTCTAAACGCCAGCATGCAAATCTCTATGAAGGTCAGTCAGCTCTGTCCACCAACCTGCAACCTCCTCACTCCTCTCGTCGGTCTTTCCTAGTGCTGTTCGCACAACAAACGTCTGTTGTTCCTCGCCTATCCCGAGAAGAACCTCGAGTCGACAACCGGGGCGCGGTCCAGCTTGAAGTAGCCCGGCTGCAGGACCTGGAAGACTTTTGTCGGATCGTATTTGTTAGCGATGTTCTTGAGCTTCGCCTTGTTGGCGGCGCCGTAGCTCTTGATCACATCCTCGTACACGCCGCCGTAGTTCATGTAGATGTAGTCGTTCTGCTTGCCCTTTTGGGTCGCCACAGCCTTTATCTGGTTCAACACCTTGGTGATGAAAGTGTAGACGGCCGTGTCGTCCGAAGCGTTGTCCCACCAGCATGCCACATGGATCAGGTACAGCGGGCCGTCCGACACGGAGATGCCCAACGGGTTGCCGCCATTCTTCGACATCTTCTCAATCATCGGCAGCGTGATACCCTGGTAGATCAGGACCGGGTTGGCGCCCGCCACGTTGGCTATCGTGGGGAGGAGTTGGTAGAAGATATCCTTTGCTTGCGCAGCAATCGACGGGTCAGCTTTGACGGTCAAGCCATAGTATGTCTCCCGCAAGCCATAAGGGTTCGAGGATGCCAGCTCGACCGTGTAGGCGGGCAGCTGTCGGTTTTGCGTCGAGTCCGAGATGGCTGTGAGGGCATTGTAGTTGTTCCAGATGGCGGCGGTTTGGCCGTTGGGTTTGGCGTAGTAGAGCTCGGCAGAGGCAATCTTGGTCCCGTTGTTCGCCAGCCAGGCAACCCATTGGCCAGCATTGCCGTCGTTGGGGGAATCACTCACGACGCCGGCGAAAGCACTAGCCAGATTGGTGAATTGGTCCTCAAGGTAGACACGGGTGCCGCCCCACAGCTGTGCCCCAGGCAGGCTGATGGTTTCATAGTTGAAGTTGACGACGATACCAAAGTTGTTACCACCGCCGCGAAGAGCCCAGTATAGGTCGGAGTTCTGTGACGGTGAAGCCGTGACCTCAAACCCTGAGGCCAGGATGACGTCGTACGAGGCAACGTTGTCGCAGGCCCAACCGTAGAGAGAGGAAAAGAAGGAGATGCCACCTCCAGTGGTGAGACCACCCACTCCGATTGGAGCAACACGTCCACCAATCACTGCCAAGTTAGAGGGCGCGAGGGCAGTATAGACTGAGTTCCAGGTATTGCCCGGTCCGACGGCGACAGTCTTCTTATCCTTGGAGACGGTGATGGAGTTCAGCGCGGCGAGAGAGACGGTGATGCCGCCTTCGATGTTGGAAGCACCTTGGAATGCTGCATGGCCACCGCTCTTGACTGCAAAAGGGCAGGTGGTCAAGCGAGAGAGCAGAATCACCACTGACACGGCACCTTTGTTGGGTGCCTTGAAAATGCAGTACGGGTTCACATTCTCTTGGATCTGCGACCAGTAGCCAGAAGTGAAAGCGTCATAGCCCGCCTCGTTACTGTACTCGATGTTTTGAGAGCCATAGAGAAGCTGCAAAGAGGCGCACTGGATGAAACACATTAGCTCGTGTTCGACAATGGAGGGTACACCTCTTCAGCCACTCACCGCAAGCGAACATGCAGCATTAGACGAGCGTTCGGCAAGTTGGGCCACTGGGAGTGCCGAGACGTCGACTCCCATATCCACCAAGGCCTGGGTAACGTTGAAATCGACGGGCTCAATGCCATCGGTCGAATTCAAGGGTGCACTGTCAGGCACCGTAAGAGTCGCAGGTTCAACGACATCGCTTGAGTTAGACTGTGCATAGACAGACACAGCGAGGGCTGCCAAAAGGCAGCCAGACGAGTAACGCATTGCCAAACAAGGAAAGATACTTGAAGATCCGACCGGATAGGAGAAAAAACAGAGGAACAGGGAAGTGACAGACGTTAAAGAAGGATGTAGAAGTCTTCTAAAGCAATTCGGTTTTCTTGGCTCTCCAAGGATCAATCTCGCAGTTTACCCTAGCGTCAACATTTCTGCACAGATAAAGGGCACCAAAAGGTACCAAATGGTACACGATAGAGCATGTTACCCTCAGACTTCGGCATTTCGGCTTGCCGCTATCACAGACTGGTCCTCATAGATAGATTGGGTCCTGGTTCAAGACGTCTTTCCCATGTGCCACGATCGGCGTGGCGAGGGCAGCCGATGGGATCGGTCGACCACGAGTGCACTTGGTCTGTGTGTCGGAGCGCTAGGACACGTCTTTGCAGCGGCTGGTCTGCTTGTCAAGGAAGAAAAAGGGACAATTTCCGAAAAGTCTGGAAATTACTGGGGTACATTGTCTCGACCTAGGTAGGTACACGTAGACTGGGACGGCCAGACAAGAAGGACAAGGAACTCAGGAGGAGAGCAGGTCGCAGCCACCGGGTTACTTTGGGGAAACTTGCACAAGTACGAGGTACCTAGTCTGAAAGTCTTCGATAGTGTGAGCAGTCTTTCCCACGTGAAGCAACAGTACCTACCTTAGGCAGTCCTTAGGAGCCACCGGCGCCACCATCATGGCGCCATTGTTGTGGGTCAACCGGGGTCAACACGGGTCTGAAGGGATCGGCGCGCCCCAAGACCCACCAACAGTGTCTCAACGGCCTTGTTTTGCCCAGAATATGTAAGGCACAGGGGGAAAATGGTGGGGATGGAGGGCGAGCCTCGAAGCAACGGGCTGCCTCGCTACTCGAAAACGGAGTGGCTTCAAGGCCTAGTAAACGGTCCGTGCATCCGAATAATGGGTAAGTTGAGGATTACTCGTAGGAGGAGTGGGGGCACGGATAGTACCAACGTCCGGCTTCGGGGCTAGGGCTAGAGGAGGAGGATGAGAAAGAAGATGGAGAGAGAGAAGGACGGGCATATGTATTGCCTGTCCATACTATTCGAGTGCTGATGTACTTGTACTGAGTAGATATGTTTTTGTGAGCGCGTTCAGTCATCGAAGAGAAGAGTAAGGAAAAAAAAAAAGAAAAAATGGAAACGCAGTTTGGTGCCGAGTAGATCAGGTGATCCGACCAACTTCACTCACTTCTCCCCTTGTAGAAAAGGCACAACGGATTGACCAACAAAAAGATATCAATCATTCCTTGGGGCCATTTCTTGCATGGGCCAGTTTTTAGCCATTCCTACCTGCAAGTACTGTACGTGTACCGAATACTCGCACCGCGAATTTGCCTGGAACTTCCCGTCCCATGGTAACCCTGTTAGGAAATTGACTTACTTCCACGTCCCTATACCAGGCTATACCTACTTTATACCTAGACCGTGCATTAGCCACGCTAAACACACACTTGCAAAGCCCACTAGGCTTCATCTTCCATACCTAGATTGGTTGCAACATGTTCCAGGCGGGTTTGGACTCGAACTGGTCTCAGTTCTTAGCTGCCTGTCGACTTTCTTCACGCCTCCCGTCCACGATTACCCTCGCCCAAGGGAGTGGTCCATCGAGCACAGGGTTGCAATGCACGCTATCTGTAGATCGAGACCTGGTATCGCAAAGCTTGGTAAGGAAAACATCGGGTTCGCCTGCGAGCCTCGCTGAGCCTAGAGTCCCATTCCCCTCGTGCTTTAGACTTGACTGGCCTCGATTAGTCTGTTTGAACCTCGCCTCCCTTTTCATTCAACGTGCCAACCTATATTCCTGGCCAAAACTCAAAAGGATGGGATACGAGAACAGAGAATTCCGGGTACAAGAAGAGGGAATTCCATCGGGCGCTGTCATCAGACTCCTCGTCTTTCCAGGTCCTGGGCCGACGCTGTTCAACCTCGACATTTCGAAATGGGTGGCAACTATGTGACCGAGGTCTCGGTGAGGGCGACGGGCATCACCATGATCATCCTGACCACCTTCGTCGCCGGCTTCCGCATTTTTGTGTCGGCCGAACAGCAGCGCAGGTTTGGTTGGGACGATGGCTGGCTGTTAGCCGCCTATATCTTCTTTTTGGCCCTGTCCATCCTGTACATCGTGGCCGCGCCGACCATGTTTCGGCTCACCAAACTTGCCGATGGGCAGATCCCACTGTACCCCACGGTCGCCGATGATGGGCTCTTCATCCAGAAGATCTTCTTCGTTACGACCTCGGGCTTGTGGCTCTGTCTGTGGAGTGTCAAGTTTTCCCTGATGGCTGTCTACAAAAAGTTGATGAAAGCCTTGCCACACAAAATCAGATTGTGGTGGGCCGTGGTGATCTTTTGCGTGGTGGTTCGTTGTCCCAGAACCCCCTCTCTTCCCCATCATACGGTGTGATCAGGCTGACTTGGCTAGGTTCTGGCGGGTGCCATCACCTCGTCGATGCTGTCTTGTTCGAGCATGAAAGCCTGGTTCACCGCTGGTGCTTGCTCAACCCCTCGCGACGTCAAGGCTGCAAGTATCAGCCTTTGGTACGCTTATGCGGTTGACATCGTCACTGATCTCATGAGTCAGTATTGAT